GAGCAGTTCAGATGAGTAGTTGGAGCTGTTAGACGTTTAGAACAGTACAGATAAGTACTAGTAGTATAGTATCTCTGAAACGAAACCAGGCAGGTAGATAAGCTGTGGCACGTTGATGCGTTGGTTGTATTGTATTTTTTGGTAGCACTGACGTGAAACTACGCAGTGATACTACACATCCTCTTGTATCGAACCATCTTCTCGATAGGTTTTCATTTCTAGTTGATGGTGGTTTCAGATCCTGAAACCGTGATTGGATTGATGGTGCGCTCGCTCGCTGCCTCTCAACCTTGTGAGAGACTACTGAGTGGTAATGGCTTCGACCATCATCCAGCCTCCGCGCGGCCCCAACTCTCTCACTTTCCAATTCGCCACCCCACAACACTCCACCACTAAACCGACCGAGCCCACACCCGAGCTGGCCTCCGCCTTCAACATGCACTCCAAGCTCCTCGTCGTGCTCAGCCTGTGCGTCGCCGCCTCCGTGCTGCAGGCGACCGACGCTGGTGCCGCCGCTCCTGCAGGCCTCTCGCCGCACCGCCACCTCGGCGCCAAGCAGGAAGACTACGGACACCACCCGCGCCACCACGACCACGACCACGACCACGATCACCGCAAGAAGCACCGCCACCACGATCACGACAAGTACTACCGTCGCCGTCTCGAAGACGCCAAGAAGGCCACCGAGTCCTCGGACTACGACTACGGCAAGGACAACTACGGCAAGGACCGCAAGGACGACTACAGCTACGGCAAGGACGACTACGGCAAGGATGACTACAGCTACGGCAAGGACGACTACGGCAAGGACCGCAAGGACGACTACAGCTACGGCAAGGACGACTACGGCAAGGATGACTACGGCCACCACCACAAGGACGTCTACGAGTACAAGGGCTACGACGACTACGGCTACGGTCACGGCAAGGATTACTACGGGAAGGTCTACTATGGCAAGGATTACTACGGCAAGGCCTACTATGGCCAGAGCTACTACGGGAAGAACGACTACGGCAAGGACTACTATGGAAAAGACTACTACGGCAAGAACTACTACTATGACAAAAACTACGACGACAAGGACTACTATGGCAAGGACTACTACGGCCGTGGCAAGGACTACTACGGCCGTGGCGACGACTACTACGGCAAGGACGTCTACAGCTACGGCAAGGACGACTACGACTACGGCTACGGCTACTACCCCGACTACTCGTTCGGAGGCGGCTATGGATACGGATACTACCCGGACTACTACTCGTCCTACGGCGGCGACTACAGCTTCGGCTACGGCTACGGATTCCCCGGCAACTACGGCTACGCTGGCTATGGCTACGGCTATGGGTACCCTGGTTTTGGCTTCGGCTTTGAGTCCGCACCGACGGGTGGCGACTCTGGGCAGCAGGAGACTGGAGGTGCGAGTCCTGTCACCACCACGGAAGACGTTGCCTCCAAGTCGGCGGAGAAGGACAGCAAGACGCCGTCCAAGGGATCCGCCAAGTCCGGCGCTGCGGACAAGTCCAAGGGCAAGGGCAAGTAAAGTAAAGTAACGTAACGTAAACCAGCGTAAGAGGCGCGTGCGTCCGTGCGAAGGCAAGAAGTCGAAGTACCGTAGACGATGGGCGAGGATGTAGCCCACGGCAAGTGTACTGTCGTGTACACCATGTAGCGTTGATAAAAACTGGCAGTGGTAGTACTAGTAGTAAGTAGTAGTAATACGCCGCCAATGGATGTCATCTTTCTTTTTGCGAACGTTTATTTATGTGTGAGGTTAGTGGTGTTAGAACACTCTTCTACCGCATGTTACTTAGTCGGTGAAACAAGCGCTGGACACAGTATATAGCCCACCTTTGATTCGCATTGGGCAGATTGAAGACGACTAAATAACATTTAGAGCAGTTCAGATGAGTAGTTGGAGCTGTTAGACGTTTAGAACAGTACAGATAAGTACTAGTAGTATAGTATCTCTGAAACGAAACCAGGCAGGTAGATAAGCTGTGGCACGTTGATGCGTTGGTTGTATTGTATTTTTTGGTAGCACTGACGTGAAACTACGCAGTGATACTACACATCCTCTTGTATCGAACCATCTTCTCGATAGGTTTTCATTTCTAGTTGATGGTGGTTTCAGATCCTGAAACCGTGATTGGATTGATGGTGCGCTCGCTCGCTGCCTCTCAACCTTGTGAGAGACTACTGAGTGGTAATGGCTTCGACCATCATCCAGCCTCCGCGCGGCCCCAACTCTCTCACTTTCCAATTCGCCACCCCACAACACTCCACCACTAAACCGACCGAGCCCACACCCGAGCTGGCCTCCGCCTTCAACATGCACTCCAAGCTCCTCGCCGTGCTCAGCCTGTGCGTCGCCGCCTCCGTGCTGCAGGCGACCGACGCTGGTGCCGCCGCTCCTGCAGGCCTCTCGCCGCACCGCCACCTCGGCGCCAAGCAGGAAGACTACGGACACCACCCGCGCCACCACGACCTCGACCACGACCACGATCACCGCAAGAAGCACCGCCACCACGATCACGACAAGTACTACCGTCGCCGTCTCGAAGACGCCAAGAAGGCCACCGAGTCCTCGGACTACGACTACGGCAAGGACAACTACGGCAAGGACCGCAAGGACGACTACAGCTACGGCAAGGACGACTACGGCAAGGATGACTACAGCTACGGCAAGGACGACTACGGCAAGGACCGCAAGGACGACTACAGCTACGGCAAGGACGACTACGGCAAGGATGACTACGGCCACCACCACAAGGACGTCTACGAGTACAAGGGCTACGACGACTACGGCTACGGTCACGGCAAGGATTACTACGGGAAGGTCTACTATGGCAAGGATTACTACGGCAAGGCCTACTATGGCCAGAGCTACTACGGGAAGAACGACTACGGCAAGGACTACTATGGAAAAGACTACTACGGCAAGAACTACTACTATGACAAAAACTACGACGACAAGGACTACTATGGCAAGGACTACTACGGCCGTGGCAAGGACTACTACGGCCGTGGCGACGACTACTACGGCAAGGACGTCTACAGCTACGGCAAGGACGACTACGACTACGGCTACGGCTACTACCCCGACTACTCGTTCGGAGGCGGCTATGGATACGGATACTACCCGGACTACTACTCGTCCTACGGCGGCGACTACAGCTTCGGCTACGGCTACGGATTCCCCGGCAACTACGGCTACGCTGGCTATGGCTACGGCTATGGGTACCCTGGTTTTGGCTTCGGCTTTGAGTCCGCACCGACGGGTGGCGACTCTGGGCAGCAGGAGACTGGAGGTGCGAGTCCTGTCACCACCACGGAAGACGTTGCCTCCAAGTCGGCGGAGAAGGACAGCAAGACGCCGTCCAAGGGATCCGCCAAGTCCGGCGCTGCGGACAAGTCCAAGGGCAAGGGCAAGTAAAGTAAAGTAACGTAACGTAAACCAGCGTAAGAGGCGCGTGCGTCCGTGCGAAGGCAAGAAGTCGAAGTACCGTAGACGATGGGCGAGGATGTAGCCCACGGCAAGTGTACTGTCGTGTACACCATGTAGCGTTGATAAAAACTGGCAGTGGTAGTACTAGTAGTAAGTAGTAGTAATACGCCGCCAATGGATGTCATCTTTCTTTTTGCGAACGTTTATTTATGTGTGAGGTTAGTGGTGTTAGAGCACTCTTCTAACCGCATGTTACTTAGTCGGTGAAACAAGCGCTGGACACAGTATATAGCCCACCTTTGATTCGCATTGGGCAGATTGAAGACGACTAAAATAACATTTAGAGCAGTTCAGATGAGTAGTTGGAGCTGTTAGACGTTTAGAACAGTACAGATAAGTACTAGTAGTATAGTATCTCTGAAACGAAACCAGGCAGGTAGATAAGCTGTGGCACGTTGATGCGTTGGTTGCATTGTATTTTTTGGTAGCACTGACGTGAAACTACGCAGTGATACTACACATCCTCTTGTATCGAACCATCTTCTTGATAGGTTTTCATTTCTAGTTGATGGTGGTTTCAGATCCTGAAACCGTGATTGGATTGATGGTGCGCTCGCTCGCTGCCTCTCAACCTTTGTGAGAGACTACTGAGTGGTAAT